ACATGTTGTCTTCATTAAATCGCACTTTGGTCAGACGCGGTCGGAGATTTCCGCTTACGATTATCTAAAACGCGAGTAAACATGCGTTTATGATGTTCCACTTACTGTGCACTTGTACTGCTGGCAATCCGTCCAAAAATTGCTCGCAGAAAACTTCTTTCTGCCCACGAAAGTTATGCCAAAGAGCAGTGCTTGGCCAGCAGAGAAAACTCCCGCTGAAGCATGGTACAATGGCAACGGGCTGTAGAGCACATCGCTGGGGCTTAGGTCTAGAGCGAAATTCATTGTGGTGGCTATTAGAATGAAGCTGCAAAAAGGTTGAGTTAGGGCTGGAAATGAGGCCTCTTTCCATTACCGAGTGTGGGGAATTTTGGCTGGCTTCGGCAACCCGGTGGTTCCAGACGTGTACATGTAGAACAGCAGGTCTTGCTGGCGCAAGCCGAAGACTTCCTCTGGCAAACTAGATGGACTGGCTTCTAGCTGCTTTTTCAAGTCTGTTGCATCGCCATCGCCCCCAAACTCGTATAGCACAACCTGCTGGATTTGCTCTTTTATGTCCTCCACCACTAAAAATCATCATATAAAACACCCTTAGTGCCAAGGGAACTCTTGGGGGTCTCCAAACCTTGGCGAAAATCGCTTCCATATATCAGCCCCTTATTGTGCGAAGCCAAAATGGAGTGGGTCAAAGGAGTGGACAACAGGTGGGAGTTGATCAACGAAGTGACCACTCCTATCTTGGCTAATCCGAGCCAAAGTCCCAGGTATTCCGGCCGGTTTTCCATTAGCAAAGCGACGACGTCGCCCTTCTTGTATCCCTGGCTCTTGAAGAAGTTTGCCACTCGATTGCTGAACGTTTCCAGCTAAAGTCCGGGACAGTTTGAGTTAACGAGCTCTAAGGGGTTCACCTCTATGGTTTTCACCTCTTGGTAGCTCCACCGGCGCCCATCGATGATAAGGGCGGTTTTGTCTGGGTGTTCCTTGGCTAGTTTGGTGAAAATTGTGGGCACAGTGTCCTCCTGTTTGCTCCAATGTTTCAATTTGGAAGACAGCTTGAAGATAACGTGGAGATTTCTGCAAATTTCAACCCGATTTGTTTTGGGCTTGCTTGTACGCCTTCGAGCTTACTTGGCATCTCGAGGGAGCGTTTTAATCACCCTGTACAGCCATTTTCTATGGCACCTCACCAGTAAACTGGCGGCTACCAGAATGAGGCTTACGATAACGTAGACCTGGAAAAAGTTGTTAAAAGCATGGTTTTTCCTTCTTGGTCATTATTTGGGTTTGAAAATTGTTTCGAAATAATATTTTTTCTTCCCTCTCAACTTAATACTGCAAAATTATGATCTTGAACCGCATTATCTTATCAGCAACGACCATAAATAGAATTTAATGTCGTGATATCAAAAGTGGTTTCAGAAAGCCGGAAAAAATGCAACAAAAAATTAAAATGCTATTGGAACACTTACCTCAAACTGAAGAGTCTAAATTGGGCACGAACAAATGAGCACAAAAAATCCCATGAAACGATTAGGAAAAAGTTGATGCAAAACAAGGCAATGAGGAATGAAACGTTAAAAGCCAAGCAAACGAACTGAAAAATGCATTCAAATTCAAACAAGCAGCAAACATCAGCAAAAGCACTTAAAAGTGGCCAAACTAGCTAGAAAAAGCTTTAAAATTCAATCAGAGCATACAAAAGTGGAGAAAGTTAAACTAATTATAAGGAAAACGTTTGTTAAAAAGAATGATTCACTATGAAAAAAAATGCAGTTGTTAAGGGTTTAAAAATATATGCGAACTAAAGCTTACCAACATGTTGAGTCGCTCTTAATGCCACTTCTTGAATGAATTGTGCCAGGATGGGTTCAATGGAGACAACGTTTAAGATAATCAATCAGACAAGTTAAAATCATTAGAACGTATAGAGCGGACTTCGAAATTACAATAAATATAAACAATAATCAGCAAGCTGTTTATGAATTTTCTTGTTACTTGCTGGCTATTTTTACTTATAAATTCATCGAACTTATCAACTTCAAATTCTTTTTAATGGCTGTTTAAATTTTATTGGTAAAAAATGTGTTTGTTATCATAAGCGCAAATACATTGTATGCAATCAATAGAAATTCTGCACAAAAATTAGTTATAAATACACATGCGGATAGAGAAAACGGGTGTCGAACTGCACTGGTCGGTGATCTGTGATAAACTTGTCTTTATCTACGGATGGACTGACCTTCATAGATAAAGACCTGGTGGTGTTCCACCTTTTCGATCTCCGGTAAGGGTTTCAAAAAGGGAATAATTGTAAACCAGGTATCGGAATGAGCCGCACTCTCTCGGAAGTTTAACATATCTTAAAGGCGTTGAGCCTGCATCTCGCTGTATTTTTCCCAACAGTTGCCAATTATGCAGGAAATCTCGATTTTTTGCAACTCGAATTGTCTGTTCGATTGTTGATAATGATATCAGTTTATTTTAGTTGAGGGCTTTTAGATAAACAGGCCAGCAGTTAAACCACAGCTTATATCATCTCAAATCAAAACACGCTGTCTTTTTGTATGATACTTAAAATGTGCCTTCGGCAGCAATTGAACATCGAAATTTTTTAATAAAAGTAACTTTATAACGTTGCTTTAAGAGTCCCGAATCAATAAAAGTTTAAAAATGTATGTATTTTTCACTACGGAACATTTAAGATTAATGCGAGTCCTTAAAACCGCTCTTATTCTTTGGCTACTGTTAGGAGAATCGGTTGAGCTAAAAAGCTCTAGTTTTGCGAGCTTTGTAGAGCGTTAAGTTCTCTCTAAGTTAAGTAGTCTTTGGCTCGTGTTTAAACAACAGGGTGAGCCTCCGAACTGTGGTTTTCAGTGTGACATAGAGCGATAAATTGCCTACTTTTTATAGCAAACACCGTTCTAGAAATGTGTCTAGTTTTCACCAAAAATGCGAAAATTATGCAAGTTTTCAAAACCGCTCGTATTTAAACAACCGAGTTTTTCGGGCTGAAGAATTTCTTCCTGCCGTTTCACACTGATGAAGGTGTAAACCACTTATGCTGGCGAAACATCAGGAGGAATTTATTTTCCATGAATGACGGCCTAAAAGTCCGAAAAAACCCATCAGTTTCAAACAATGGCCGCGAAAGCTTCTTTTGATGACCGAAGATTGGTTTCTTTCGTAAAAGCGCAAGTTTTCTTAAAGTTGGAGAGACCGTCGTTTGCTTTTGGAATTAATGTTTTTTAATTTCTGAATTATTAATCAGGTCAAACGAAAACAGGCCTATTATTATGCAAATAGCCCTCTTAAAATCAATATTTCAAAGCGACGCACTTAAGACTGACTGAAGGAGGGAGAATAATCCCCTCAAATAGCAAAAAAAAAGAATATTTAGATTCTTGCATGATATCCTTGCGTGCCTGTTGACATCCAAGAATTGCCTAAAACGGTTATTTTAACCCCGTTTATTTCGGGTTGTTTCGACATTATTCCCCCATTTAACACGGCAATTCCGCAGCTTTTACGCGACAATGTTGTGCATTTGCTCAGCAGTTTGCGCAAAAGTCCTCCCGCAATTGCCCTCATTTGCTTCATGGACCAACTTATGCATTAGAACTGATAATTTCGTCTTCTTGTATATATTCTTCGGATATTTGCAAACTCACTTTCTCACTTTGTCAGTTATTGAGTACAACAAAATGGAATTTTGAAAAATTGTCGAAAATTTCCTGAGGATGACGAAAAATCGAAACTTCTTCTACCTATAGAAGGGATTTTGCCTGAGAAAACGCAATCAAAATTGACTTTTTCACGTATCAAGTAACAGAAAAAAATGTTAAACTCTTGCCTGTAAATACCACACCGAAAATAAGGCACGCGCTTAAAAAAATGTTGAAACTTGCTTAATGAAGACTGAAAGTCGAAACTTTTGTTACGTATAAAACAGACATTTGTTCCACAAAATACATGCAAAAGCCACTTTTGCACTTCGTCGGTTCTTGAATACATAAATGCCCAAATTCAGCCTGCAAAGCGACGTCGCAAACCAAATGTAATTTTGAAAAATTGTGAAAAAAATCCTGGGGATGACGAAAAACTGAAACTCGCTCCACTTATATAAGGGATTTTGCCCTTGAAAACGCAATCAAAATTGAGTTTTTCACGCAGCAAATTGCATAAGAAATGAATGTTAGACTCTGGCCTGTAAAATTCACACCGAAAACAAGACGCGAGTTAAAAATGTTTTTTAAATTTCTTGATAAAAACTGAAAGTCGGAACTTTTTTCACGTAGAAAACAGACCTT